TTTTGCCCATAATTTTATGTAAGTTGTTTATTTATTAGGTTTTGATACTTATAGAGGACCTCCTTCGATTTCCAATGGAAACTATAGCCAGCTGCAGTTCCAGGCTAGAGAGTATCCCGGAACACCGTACACCCAAAGGGTAAGAGTAAGTGCGATAATCGAGCAATGGCACAGCTGTTGATGTTAAGCCGATGATTAAATTACAGCAGAGTCGTAATTTGCTTTGTAAAGACACTCTTAGTTTTAGAACCACTTGTAAGTACCCTGAAGAGTGGAGTTGGAAGCTTTTCTGATAACCCAAGGAGGATGAATGACAACTGCCTGTCACAGGGAACTTGGGAGCTCTTAAGGACTTTGTTAAGTTTGCGTTAACTTGTTTACTCCTGGGGGTTCAGAAACAAGCTAAATAACTTGTCCAAGGTCCCTCAGCAGACAGATGGTAGAGCGAAGAGTCGACTGCATGTTTCTTATCTCCAGAGTCCGTGGTCTCCACTTACAGTGCCTTCCGTTGAACTTTCCTAAATGTCACATATAGGAAAATCCTTTTTCATAAGTTCAGTTTTGGGGGTTTATTCTTGACTTGAACAGCTCAGCAGGTTTTCTTTACTATCTGCGGTAAAAGACTGACAGGAGGATGTCAGACTTCCCACCTACACTTCGGGAACGTCCTGTCAGTGATGGTATCAATATATACTATCAGCATGTTCAGTTGTGAAGCTTTACCAGTCTTTAAGTATATATATATATATATATATGAATATGTGTGTGGTGTTTTACTGAGTTCTGTTGGTAATGTGTAAATCACCTGCACTCGAAGAGCTTCCCGTCCCGTGAGGTGGGGCAGCTGTCCGTGCAGGGGCGGTATTGCAGAACACAGCCTGGAGAACACAGCAGGCCCCCTCAGTGCCTTGGGTCTGACCCCCGGCCTCACCACTCCCTGCCCGGGCTGCGTGCCCCTCCCTGGCCGTGTTACTGACACTTTCCAAACTCGAGTTCCTTATCCGTTAGAGGAAGACTTAACGTACCCTAAGGTGTTGACGATTACTCTGTGGGATACTCTGCGGATTAAATGGACCGATGTACCTACGTGCTTAGCTCTGCAGTGCCATGCGTGCATCAGAGATGCACATATTCGCTGTTAGCGCTCGACTGTCGGGCGTGGTGTGCGGAGGAAGCGCGCTGATCAATACAGACTTCAGTAGTGGAACTGTCCGTTCATATTACCAGTATTCTAGTACTTTTGTGTGCTGCTTTAAATTTCTTTCTGAGAAAACATAAGATATTAATGACAGTGGAGCTGTTGGGAAGAGGACTAGGAGCCTGGGGTGGGAGACTTTTTATTATTATTTTTATTGTATGCTTTCTTGTTTTGTTTAAATTTTTATTACATGTATTAATCTAATTACACCATGAATTATTCTTTTCATGGGTTGTGCGGAGGCTGACTTTCACCATACTTGGGAGTCAAATTGAAATGTTGCCTCTTAAACATTTTTTTAAGACATTCATACGTTATAATTCTTACCAATTTCCCTGTCAGAACAGAACCCTAGCATAATTTGTAATTATCTTCACAGTTTGGTTTATAAAGAGAGCAAGGTTGAAATAGTCTGTTTTCTTGCTTTATTTTCTCCTTTTACATTGAGATGAGGGACAGAGGGCACGGCCATATTTCTGAATTTCCCTCATTACCTAGCATTGTATCTTTTACATAGTGTTCTTTAAGTGCTTTATTATTTTTGCAAATATTAACATATCTAATTTGTCAGCTTAATTAACAGATGAAGCAAGTATTGGCCATTGTGGGCCTTGCTTTATTTGTTTATCTTGGTGTTGAGAGACATCTGAGCCCCTTCTGGCTGCTGGAGAAGGCCAGATAAAGGGCTAAGAGGACCTTAATCTCACAAAGTTATCTGCCAGTGATCCACTGTAATAACTAATTATCATCTTGCATTTTTGGTGCTCAGGTAAATATTCTGTGTTCATTTTAGGATAATTTCCAGCAGTGTTACAAGCGAGGAGGGACATCTGGTGGTCCTCGGGCAAATTCAAGAGGTAAGGATAATTAACTGAGGAGTTCTTCAGCCTCTTTCAAGTTCTCTGCAAAGTACATTGTTTTTAGCATTTATCTTTTGAGGTTTTCAGTTTAAGTGTAGTACTGAACACCTGAAGGAGATTTTAGAAAGGCTGTGGAAATCAGTGGTCAGTTTAATTAAAAGTGTGTGTGCATGTTTTAAATTTGCTTGGCACCACAGCACAATTTAACCTTAGACATATACTCACTGTGCTGACCTGAAAGAGTTTTGTGTGATGCTTCAGGGTGTGGATTTGTAATAATGGGCACTTGTAGATACTCCAGTGTTACTACGTTGATAGATAGGAATAAACAACAGTTAAGACACAGTGACTTGAAATAAAAACAGGATACTTTTAATACTTCTTAAAATGTGAAGGTACTGTTAAAAGATTCACTGTAACTGAGAAAGTCAAGAATGACTGAGGATAACTTTGTCACAAGCAAAGAGCATCTTTTCCTTTTAAGGAAAGTATTCGTGTTACCTCTGCCTTCTTATCTGAGCAGTGTTTTTGAACAATACTGAAAACGGTAAAACTTTGTCACATCACATTAACTTAGAAATAAAGAACAAGCATTTAGCATGGGGCTTGGTGCCATAACAGAACATTTGAGCAGCTAGTGGCTAGTAGTTCTACAAGTTCATTCTTTTATATAATCTGTTGTCTCAAGTCCTTCTGCATTAGATGCTGGGAGTAGATTTGTCACCGAGGAATTAAGAATCCAGAATTACGGGAGAAAGATAAAGCAGTGAAAAGAGTGTTCACACCTGGGTTTTAGACTTTGCTGACTGTAATTCATGTTAAGTTATCCAACCTTCTGGGAGCCTCATTTTCTTAACATTAAAAAAAAAATGAGGCTTCTGGACAAAATCATCTCATTCCCTTCTGGCTTTAGAGTAATAGTATGAAAGCCTATTGCCAGAGAAACCTAGGAAAGTATACTGTAGCTATACTTTATTGCTTTTTAAAAAAAAATTTACTATGAAATGTATTTTTATCTTGTTTCAGTAGCCGACTAATGTTAAATATTGTGTTCAAAGCTAACTGCTTCATTATGAGAAACTCACTGTTGCTAATAAAACAGCAGGGTGGAGTGATTCTTCTCAGGTGAGCAGCCCCGAAAGAGACAACGAAACCTTTAACAGTGGTGACTCTGGACAAGGAGACTCCCGTAGCATGACGCCTGTGGACGTGCCGGCGACAAACCCCGCAGCCACCATACTGCCGGTACACGTGTACCCGCTGCCTCAGCAGATGCGGGTGGCCTTCTCGGCGGCCAGAACCTCTAACCTTGCCCCTGGAACTTTAGACCAACCCATCGTGTTCGATCTTCTTCTGAACAACTTGGGAGAAACTTTTGATCTTCAGCTCGGTAGATTTAATTGCCCGGTGAACGGCACTTACGTTTTCATCTTTCACATGCTAAAGCTGGCCGTGAATGTGCCCCTGTACGTCAACCTCATGAAGAACGAAGAGGTCTTGGTATCTGCCTATGCCAACGATGGTGCTCCAGACCACGAAACTGCTAGCAACCACGCCATTCTCCAGCTCTTCCAGGGAGACCAGATATGGTTGCGTTTGCACAGGGGAGCGATTTACGGAAGTAGCTGGAAATACTCTACGTTTTCAGGCTATCTTCTTTACCAAGATTGAGAGTCAGTACAGAATCGACACTAAAAGGGTCTGGTGTTCTAATTAGTGGGAAGCAAGGAAGAGTGGCCCTCGCCCTTGTGACTGGCTGGCTTAGGAGGATGGTTTCATTCCTAGAGGAAGGAGGAGGTCCTTACGTTTTTGTTTTCCTCCCCAAGGTGAAAAATTTCAAGCTGAATGACAATTAGCACTAATCTGGCACTTTATAAGTTGTGATGTAGCCTCGCTAGTCAAGCTGTGAATGTATATTGTTTGCACTTAACCCTTAACTGTATTAACGTTCAGCTTACTAACCTAACTGCCTCAAGTTCAGGCGAGTTACGATGCCTTGTTGTGCCTCAATAAAAAAGTTACCTGCACCTTCAGTGTTCTTACTTGATTAAACATGCGGTTGAGAGGTAGAATGCTTAATTTTTAGTATTCATCACTGATAACTCCTGAATGGGAATTTATTCTTGGGTTCATACTATTATCTTAAAATAAGCCTTTTGTATATAGCAGCTCCTTTCGAGAGTGAGTTTTCTCTGTCATTATATGTATCATTCATCAGAAGTTTTGACCTGTTTGCCGCTGGCCAAATACTCTCCTTGAAGTTGTTCTGCAGCAGGCCGTGTTACCCTGTAGTTAGCTCTCTTCAGGTACCGACCATGTGAATACTAATATGGGGTACAGTGGGAGGGACACGGGTCGTACTGCCGGTTCACCATCAGTTAGGCTGTGTTTTCTAATGGATGCTTAATTTGAGAAGCAAAATACACGGTCGTCAAAAAGCATAGGTCTGTGGTCAGGCCACGCTGTGTTTGCTGATTTTGCCACTTTTAGTAACTGATCTTGGACAAGAAGTTATTATACTGCTAAGATTTTTTTCTTTAAAAGACCATTTCCTCAGATGTAAAATGGGCAACTTCATAGGGCAATTGTGAAATTTAACTAAGAAATTATCTAAAAGACTTAACACAGTGCCTGGCACGTTAGCATTTACTAAACGGTAAATGCGCTAATTATTTTTCTCTCATTCTGAAAACGTCAGGGTTGTGTCTGTGTGTGTGTGTGTGTGTGTGTGTGTGTGTGTGTATTGTCTTACATGCAGTGAAGCGGGCGCTACCAGAGTTTAGTTTCCATTCTAGACATACATCCTCACACGCCTCAATTTAAGCTTGTTTAGGTTTCTCACTAATAAGAATTTAATAAATATTTTGTTTCTCAAGTACTTAATAGCTTTTAAAAGCGAACATTTTGGTTGCCATATCGGCAGTCATTTTAAGGGTTGGAGAAGGGCATTCTTACGCTGCAACCAATGAAGTCACCTGCTGAGGAAGAGAGTTCTTGTTTTGGCCCTCCACTCGTTCTGAGGTGTTAAATAATCTCAGGAAGATGGTATAAGAGCATTAAATTATTGTGGTTAACATTTTTAAGCTAGATGTGGGTTCAGCAGCTAAACCCTGAAGCCACGTGTGACTCTGTAGTGTTAGATGTTAGTATAATGTTATCTGGATAGAGGATATAATGTGATTCGCTATTTCACAGAAATTTTTTCAACTCACGGTAGTTACTTTGAGGGTTAGGGATGTTAGTATTCCAGTTAAGTAAATTAGTTCATGGCTTTTATGTCCAGAGCACAAGCTAGAAATTACACAGACAAGCAGAAATACGACTAAACAATCAAGGGGAAAACTTGATGTTTGAGAACAGTTGTTGAGAAATTCACCAAGGCCTGGCCCTTTTTTTAGCCACAATGTTTTCTGCTACATTAGGGTCTTCAGTTTGGTCTTTTATCCTGCACCCAATCAACAGTTTTTTAAAATTTTTGTGAGCAACTCTTTGTATTTTTTAAGGTAAGTGTCCAACAAGACGAGACTCATTAACTAAGGTATTGCCTCTTGATAATACTCACGTTTTAGGAGAATAGTTTAAATGAAATGCTGTTTTCCTAAGTGTAAAGACAATGAACTAGAAGTTAACTGTTCTTAGACTTATGAGAAAAAATGGACAAGAGCTTTCATCCTGAAGCAATATAACTTCTGAACACACAGTTCTTCTGGAAGCTTTTAGTGCAAGTCCAGATGTCTTTACAGAAAGGTGTACGTATGCACAGATTTGATACCTTTGCAAGAGATGCAGGGGGATCCACCGATGTGTCAGGCTCTTTAGAGGATCTTGTCAGTGGAAGGGCCCTCCGTAAATTACTGTGTATCTCCGGATATACAGCTACTTGGTTGTGTCACTGGAGGTGGAGATGGGGGAGAGAAAGTTTTCCTATCAACTAAATTCTCCTAGTCTTCTTTCACTCTGAATCTCTTAGCCTTTTGTTAAATGAATTCTCCCTTAGGAATTGGGATCTGCTGACTGTACCTCCTCTAAAATTATTTAGTGAGTAAAAAAGCATGTAGTTAAAACAGGAGATGTTTTTTAAGATGTTTTTGCTCGCTTACCTCCTGTACCAAGTATCTGTCAGTCATCCCATTTTTAAATGTAAACTTTCTAAACTCCATAATAGCTATACCTTTACAGTGCTATGACATCACATACTGTGTTTTTATACTTTAATCTTTCCTGTTTGCAAAGTTTAATTCCTTATCTTTAACGACATGTTCTATTGTGATCCTTGTGGTAACCAGGATGAAAGGATGGTTGGCATACGGACATTAAAGTTTTTCCATAAGAATCTACTCTATTCCCCTGCCAAACACTTAATTTTGATGAAAAAAAAGAAAAAGAAAAAACCAACCTGATTTGTTCTCCACTTGCTGATGGATCTCAGGAGTATTTTTAATCGCCACTTTAATGGTTAGCCCAATATCTCGTCTTCATTTTTCAGCCTTTGGGCAAGTGTTGACAGCTGACACAGCCCACCCGCTACCAGTGCAAGATGCTGAATACCAGATGATAAAACATTATTGCCCATTATTAGTATTAAGGGGCCTTAGGCTCACTAATTCTAGGTTTCTCAAGCATTATTCCTTTATTCATTTTATTTCAACGGGCCTTATATGTTGAAATGATTAGTCTTTCACATATATGGGTTATCTGGTTTGCCCCTGGGTCAAGGGCTACAAAGATGAATACTCAGACACTACAGGTATTATGAATTTTATCCATTTCATCTGCTGAGAGCAAAAATTGAGTTATTTCTCTGATTTCTATAACACCTCTTATTTTTTTTTCCTGTTCTTTATCTGGAACTCTTACTATTCAGAAGCTAAACCTCGTTGGACTAGTTATTTAATCTTAACCTTTCTCTTGTTTCTAAGTTTCACTTTCTGGAAGATCTCCTTAATTTGACCTTTCTAGCATTTTTACAGAATTTCAAATTTCTGCTACATTTAAAATTTATACGTACACTTCTCTTGAGTGTTCCTTACATATGTATTCTGTTCATGTTTCGTGAGTGCATTATTGTCTAATTCTAAGAGTTGCCTTTTAAAAGTTTTCTTCCCTCTGTAGTCCATTTCTTACATTTTGTTCTAGTCTCTTATCTGTGTTGTTATATTTGCTCAGAATCTTGTGATTTGGGGTTGACTGTTCATACTTAAGAATGAAGAATGTGGCATCTAAAAATGGCTGGACACTTTGAAAGCAGATGTGGGACTTGCTGACTTCGGGCTCTGTAGTAGCATGAGTTTTGTGGGGAGAACACTTGGAAGAGCTCTTTCCAAGTGGGACACAAAGCCCAGAAGCCATAAAGGATGGATACACTTGACGCGTAGAAATTATCCCCCTAAAACTCCTGTCAGGGGAAATAATGTCAAAAGAAAACGACTGCCTGCAGTGGGAGGAAACCAAGAAAAGGATGGCCAAAAAAAAAAAAAAAAAAGACAGATGTGAAGGGGCAGTTCATACATACATACAAAAAACTGATCAGTAAGCATATGTGAAGGTTTGAAGTGCAGATTTTGGCAAGCATGTGGGAAGACGGGCACTCATACTGTAGACGGGAGTAAAATTGGTCCTTTTTGGAGACAGGATGTAGATGCTTTTGATGCAGAAATTTCACTGCCAGGAATTTAGACATTTCTGGAATTATGCCAAGATACCTGCATGGAGATACTGTGTGTAGCATTAATTGCAACACCAAAAACTGGGGAAATAACCTAGATGCTGATCAGTAGGAAATTGGTAACATAAGTGAGAAGAGAAGATAGAGCAGAGTGTGTAGTATCATTTGTGTAAAAATTTCTAAAAGCATGTACGTGTGATTACCTGAACCATTTTCCCCCCTGGTAGCATGTACAAGAGATTCAGTAGTATTGGCTTTAAGGAAAGGGGGTTGCAGTAGGTAATTTTTATCCTGCATATGATCGTAGAATTTGAAATGTACATATCACTTTTTTGTTAAAAAATTTAAAGTAGAAGAGAAAATGGTAAGTTGCGCTGGTACTTACCCAGCCATATCTTGGATAGAGCTTGAGGGTCTGTTTTAATTATTATTAAGCCTTTCAGTAACATTTGCATTTCATCTCGTAACTCACGGAGCACTCTCGTCTATGGAATCTGACTTGATCTTCACGATGGTCCTGGTGAGGTAGATACAGTTTTAGGGGATCAGAAAATTGAGACTCTTGGAGACTGATTTCCTAAAGCCACTAACAGAAGTGCCCGAGCCAGCCTTGGCTCTCCTGAGTCCAAATACAGTGTAGCACACTCCACCATGCCTTCTGCCCTTTAGTTTTCAGGTGTGGTCACCTTCACCATATTTTCCGTCTCTGTTTTGTTCACACAGGTGTTTTGCAGGTGCCACTCAGCTTTACTAGGGCAAACTCAACACTCAGAGCAGGACAAACTGGATCAAACTGGATTCAGCTGAGGCTGTCCTAAGTTACAGTTTCTCGTACGCCCTGAATTTGAACGGGGTGACTCCCTTTCCAATGTGAAACGTGGAAAGCCCGAGGAAAGGAAGAAGCAGAACATTCTGAGGAAAAACTGATTTGAAAATGAATGTTTCATCTTTACTCCTAGTTCATACCACAGACTTTCATTTCTATGCCTCTCCACCACCACCACTATTTTAGTCTCTTGAGATGGAAGTTTCTGGCTTCTGTTTAGAAATCCCCCAACCCCCTATTTAGCTTATATATACTGATTTTTTTTAAAAGAAAAATTCCTCTTTAACTGAGAGGTCTGCCACATTCTTTTAGAAAAGTCTACTCAGGGCTTTTGATTACACGTGATAGTTGAGAGGAGATTACCACTGACATTATAGTCACAAAATACTGAAGACTTTATGCTTACAAGATGTATGTATATACTTCTGCATGTATTTCAGGTGCTATGGAGAAGAGACACTTCTGAAGCAGAGGCAGTTCATCTACACACTTTACAGTGTTCACTTACAGATTGTTCAGCATGGTTTAAGAGCTATGTTATTAAACTTAGGGATTTTCCTTCATTGGGTTTTAACTCCCGCTTTGCCTTCATCATATGGACTAGATTCAAGCTGGCTAACGTGGACCAGCAGATGAGCTGCTGCCAGCAGATGGGGAAGACAGCTGTGTGCTGTTCCATTTAGATGACTAAAATGTTAAATCTCAAAAAAGGCCACCTGGAGTAAAAATGACTTTCTGTCATTTGAGCGGTAACCACGCCAGCTACTCTCTCTGCTGTATGCCAGCACTTCTGTGGTGCCAGCTAGCTTACATGCACCGCTGACGCAGAGCCCTCCAGCCCCCGGCCAGGGCTTCCTCCTCCTCACCCAGCTCTCCCGTGAGAGCCAGATGTGAATTTCCGACGGTCACCCTAGCTCTGTTACCCATGAGCACCTCTAGTTCAACATGCCCCAAAGTGAACTCATCTTCCCCCCAAAGTCTTATACTCCTTCCATGTCCCATAGGTCGTCAAAGCTACATACTCTAGAATCATTTTTTTATATATAAACTTTTTTTATTGAGTTACAGTCATTTTACAATGTTGTGTCAAATTCCAGTGTAGAGCATAATTTTTCAGTTATACATGAACATACATACGTTCATTGTCACATTCTCTTTTGCTGTGAGCCACCACAAGATCCTGTATATATCTTCCTGTGCTACCCAGTACAATCTTGTTCATCTATTCTACATTTTGAAATCCCAGTTCCTCCCCACCCCCACCCCCTGGCAACCATAAGTTTGTATTCTATGTCTATGAGTCTGTTTCTGTTTTGTATTTTTGTTTTTGTTTTAGATTCCACATGTAAGCGATCTCATATGGTATTTTTCTTTCTCTTTCTGGTTACTTCACTTAGAATGACATTCTCTAGGAGTATCCATGTTGCTGCAAATGGCATTATGTTGTCGGGTTTTGTGGCTGAGTAGTATTCCATTGTATAAATATACCACATTTTCTTTATCCAGTCATCTGTTGATGGACATTTAGGCTGTTTTCATGTCTTGGCTATTGTAAATAATGTTGCTATGAACATTGGGTGCAGGTGTCATTTTGAAGTAGGGTCCCTTCTGGATATATGCCCAGGAGCTGAATTCGTGGGTCATATGGTAAGTCTATTCCTAGTCTTTTGAGGATCTCCATACTGTTTTCCACAGTGGCTGCACCAAACTGCATTGCCACCAGCAGTGTAGGAGGGTTCCCTTTTCTCCACAGCCTCTCCAGCATTTGTCATTTGTGGACTTTTGAACGATGGCCATTCTGACTGGTGTGAGGTGATACCTCATTGTAGTTTTGATTTGCATTTCTCTGCTAATTAGTGATATTGAGCATTTTTTCATGTGCCTATTGATCATTTGTATGTCTTCCTTGGAGAACTGCTTGTTGAGGTCTTCTGCCCATTTTTGGATTGGGTTGTTCTCTAGAATCATTTTTGACGTCTCTTTGTGACCTTGTATATCTGATCAGTGACAAATTTCTGTTAAGTCAACCTGTGGAATGTCTGATATCTGTCCTACCTTCTGTATTCCTATTGTGGTTATCCTGTCTCAGACCCCTTATCTCTCACATGCTTTCATGTAATCATTCAACCAATACTTACGGATTGCTTATGATGTACCAGGCATAGTGTGAGACTGGGTCTCACTGTGTCTCATTTATCAAAGTTTCGATAAGGTCTCTTCTTTCTCCTAAGTAGAATACAGTGATGACAGTCAATATTGAGCATATGCCATGGGCACTGTGCTGATCTCATTTAATCTTCACAATAGCTTTTGGAAGCAGAGGAGGAAATGGACAGATAGGTGAGGCATATGCAAACCATGATAATACAAGACAATATAACTCACTCAAATTCTCCCTCATACAAGATGAAGGTGTTAATATAGATGCCCTCTCGTATTGTACACAGTAATAAGAAAAAGGGGACTCAAACAATGAGCCATATATAAGTTAAAGATACAGTTAAGGGAGAGCTACTTTAAAACACTTGCAAAGACATCTGAGAGCAGAATTAGAGATGCTTGTGTTTTTTCCTGTTGCCTCAGACAACACTAATATGACATCACTATCTTTTAGTGATTTGTGTTCACTGAGTCTTTTCAAAACATACAAACGTTTCATGCAAACATCATCTCTTTCTTAAATTATGTATTTTGTTAGTTAATTTTTTTTATTTTGAGGTAATTGTACATTCTCACGTAGTGGTACGAAATAATACAGATGGATCCCATGTACCCTTTATCCAATTTACTTCAATGGTTAACATCTTGCAAAACTATGGTACAATACCACAACCAGGATATTGAGATGCCATCAAGATAGAGAATATTTCCAGCCTATAAGAGTCCCTCATGTGCTTTTCATAGTAACACCCATTTTCCTCTTGTCCCCATCCCCACTTTAACTCCTGGCAACCACCTCTCTGTTCTTTTTATAATTTATTATTTTAAGAATGTTACATTTAAACAATTATATAAATGTTATCAGACAGTAAGTGACATTTGGGGACTGGCTTTTTTTTTTCACTTGGCATAATTCTCATCCAGGATTTATCCAGGTTGTTTCATGTATTTCCTTCTATTGCTCAGTAGCGTTCCATGGCACAGATGTGCCAGTTTGTTTAACCACTGTTTTCCAGGGAGGCTGCACCATTTGAAACTCCCGCCAACAACATATGAGTGATCCAGGTTCTCTGCATCCTCACCAGCATTTGGTGATGTTGCTATTTTAAAATTTTCTTCTCTCATTTTACGTTAGTGGAATGACTGTGTCAGGTCTGTCCCTGCTCTAAACTATCTTTAGTGCTAGCAGGGTTCAGTTTTAGACATGTGTCTTGAAGGATTTGGGTGCATCCAAGTAGAAACATCTAGTTGAAGAAAAGAGATCTTGGTTAGAAGCAGTGGTGTAAGTTGTCCCACTTGAGTGGATGGTTAAAGGTACATAAGGGATTGAAATGACTAAAGCAGAATGGGTGGAAGGGAAAGAGAAGAGTTCTGAGAAGTGCCACTATTTAAGAGTTGAGTGATCAAGTGAGTAATCAAAGCGTTAGAAATACGTTCTTTTAAGAGAAAACAAGGAAAGATTATATATATAAACAGTGTCAGATACCAGAGAGGTTTTAACATGAGAATTAAAGCTGTCTCGTGCAGATACCAAGTGCATATGTTTTAGATATCAATTGAGGTATCAGTATTCATTTTTGTTGGCAGTTTCAGTGGCGGGGGTGGGGGAAATGAAGGCAGATGCCTGTGAATAGCTGACTGAAGCATGAATAGGAGGTCAGAAAGTAGAGACAAGGAAGGAGTGAAAAAAAATGAACAATAGTCAGAGAGCATTACTGAACAGAGATTGTTTTTAACTGGAGGAAATGTTTTTAAGCTGAGGTTGAAACAGTAGAGAGAAAGAGGTTGAAAATATAGGAAAAAGTTTTACAAATTGTCAACAATGTGTGTAATAATACTCAAAATTTATTTTAATGAAAAATACATGGAATAGAGAGAGATTAATGGAGCTAGGTCCCAGAGGGGGTGAAGAAGATTGGGTTCAGACTGGAAGCAAGGAGATGAAGAGGGGTGAACAGAGATTAATTTGTGTTTGCATGAGTTGAGGCTAATGGTTTTGTTCATCTTTGCAGGACTCTGTGAAAAGGAAGGGAGTTTGAGAAGGGTCTTGAGGGTTGGAACAGTTGCTGAGGGAATGGAAGATGGTGCTGATCAAAGGAAAGGAATAGGATGGTTGAGCCTGAGAAAAGAACAAACATTTGTAGCGGTATCAATTTGAGCAGTGGGTCAAGGGTAGACTTGAGAAGTTAAATTGGGAGTTTAAGAGCAAAGAAGGATGTGCAGTCAGGAATGGATAGACTAAGGAGACTGAAAAGTGATTGATTTGGAAAACAGGTATAGCATTATTGAGGGAGAGAGAGAGATGAAAGAGTAGGTTCTATTTTGAGAAGAAGATTTTGGAGTTAAGATTTCAGGGGTCAAAATTAATGTTCAAAAATCAGTTGCCTTTCTTTACACTAACGATAAATCAACAGAAAAAGAAAGTAAAGAAACAATCCCCTTTAAAATAGCACCCAAAGTAATAAAATATCTGGGAATAAATCTAACCAAGGAGGC